ACTACACACTGGACTTCAACCAACATGGTTTCTGTGCCTCTCCACTTTTCCTCCAGACTCTGGGACCTTGATTTCCAAATGAAATGCAAAATTTACTTTCATCTGAAAAGAGGACTTTGGACCACTGAGCAACAGTCCAGTTCTTTTTCTCCACAGCCCAGGTAAGACGCTTCTGACGTTGTCTCTGGTTCAGGAGTGACTTGACACGAGGAATGCAACATTTGTAGCCCATGTCTAGGATTCGACTGTGTGTAGTGGATCTTGATGCGCTGACGCCAGCCTTAGTCCACTCCTTGTGAAGCTCCCCCAAATTCTTGCTGGTGCACCTTTTCCTACCACACTTTCTCCTTCCGCTCAACTTTCTATGAATATGCTTGGATACAGCACTCTGTGAACAACCAGTTTCTTTAGCAATGAAATTGTGGCTTACACTCCTTGTGGAGGGTGTCAATAGGCCCTTTCGCACCGCTTTAGTTCCAGAACTAAACGTACAGTACTAAAGTACTGGGACGATTTTGCGCGAACTAGTTTCCATTACCATTTAAAGGGTTGCATTCGCACCGAGAGTGTGCACTAAGAAGTGACATAAGCCAGTCGACAGCGACGTCATTTGTGCGTGGCCTTCAACAACAGAAACGAAGAACAACATTAACAGGAGGATGGAGGACGCTGTGTTCGGAGCTGTGTTTTTGTTGTGTCTCGCGGGTTTCACAATAACGGACATGGAAAGTCGACGTATACGTAAAGTGATTGGAAGAACGGAAAGGACCAATTAAGAATCTTCAACGACAACTGGCAGTGCTACATTTGCTACAAGTGCCTGCACTTCAGCGTCCATCCATCTATCGCTGTTCTCCATACTTACGAAATAAGTTGACAATGTTTACAGTAGGTTTACACGGCGTTTTAAATCATGGCGGGTGAGGGCGTTTTCATACGCGTTTGGCCAATCAATGTCTACTTACGTCACGATTAGTACCAGTTGTGCTGGTTAGACCCTGCTCCGGAGTAGGAGCTAATTTGGTTCTCGAAAAAGGCAGTCCGGTACTAAAATCGCACCCAGTTCCGGTGGTACGAACACACTGAAAAGTGGATAGTTCCACAATTAGTTCTGGTACTATGAAAAGGTTCCCGCGGTGCGAAAGGCCCTTTTGTAAACACTGGGTCGGTACTTCGAGCTAATTTGGTTCTCGAAAAAGGCAGTCCGGTACTAAAATCGCACCCAGTTCCGGTGGTACGAACACACTGAAAAGTGGATAGTTCCACAATTAGTTCTGGTACTATGAAAAGGTTCCTGCGGTGCGAAAGGCCCCAATGACGTCCATCAAGTCAGCAGTCTTCCCCATGATTGTGTAGCCTAGTGACCCAGACTAAGAGACCATTTCAAGGCTCAGGAAACCTCTGCAGGTGTTTTGAGAATTAGCTGATTAGAGTGTGACAACATGACTTTAAAATATTGAACTTCCACAATAGTCACATTTTCTGAGACACTGAATTTTGGGTTTCTGTTATCTGTAAGCCATAATCATCAAGTTCAAGAAATAAAGGCTTGAAATATTTCACTCTGTGTAATGAATCTATATAATATATGGGTTTCACTTTCTGAAATGAGTGACAAAAATATTGAACTTGTTCGTGATATTCTAATTTTGGAAAAAATAAAGGTAGCACACAGTTCAGTATCACAAATAAAAGTACACAAGGCATTTTAATGCATTCCCATTTTAATACTATATCATACAGTAGTATTTTTGTACACCAAACACTTTTTTTTTTACAAATACATTTCTAATGTCCGAGTTAACCATTACTATACCCACATTAAAAACCATGCACCATTGTAGCCTCTTTATATTCAGAGTATTAACTTGAAACAGCAATTTCATGTTAGCAGCAAACTTGCTGTCTATATACGGTTAGTTGTGCCACACTGACAGTCTAAACCAAAAAAAAAACAAAAAAAAAAATTACAACTCAACCTCTGAAAATGCTATAATAGGACATTGATACAAAAACAGAAACACAAAGAAAGAGTTACCAATAAATTACAGATTACTCATTTCAATTGCACAAACTCTTCTTTCCCCAGGTACACACTCTAGATTGAGAATGTGTCATATTTTGTAAAGTCATCAGACCATCTGTGATGTGCTACAGTGGAATCTAGCAAGGGAAACCATCTGTCTGGACATCATATTACCCAAAATGAGTTGACCACAGTTTTGTACATAACATAAGCAACTTCAATGACCAAGCTACTAAACAAGACAAAATGAACAAGGTTACATGAGTCATGGAAGCAACAAACATACTACAATGACGCACAGAGCAATGCTTCATGCCAAAACCAACATGCTCAATGTCAGCTTCCTTCAGTTGATGGTCTCATTTTACATCGACCCAGAGCAAAACTCAATGAGGAAGGGGGGGGGGGTCAAGGGACTCATCCATTTGGAACCTCTAAGGTCTACTATACCATTTATATGCCTCTCACATTTTTGTGCTATTGGCAATGACTTCAATATAGGCTCAATGAGCAATACAAACTCAAATTTCATCTCTTCATGGCCGAATTCCAAAGGAGTTAATACATCCAAAAACCAAAAGTTCAAATGAACTGGACGGATTTGAAACAGCTGGATGATGCCATTTGAAGAGAGAACCCTGGGGGAGAAAAATACATAAATACAAAGCAGTAACCAAGATCATAGTTATTAACAATTTAATAAAAAAAATAAATAAATACCAACACGCATTTTAACAGAATTGCCGTGATTTCCATCCAGGCTGGGATGAGTCTGATGTGGAGGGATACCAGCGCATCTAAAAGAAAAAAAAAAGTTGAACAAATACGTAAAATTAAACACCTTCAGTTAAAATAAAAAAAAGGATCAACCGAATACAAATGAGGGGGGGGAAAAAAAATAAAAATAAAAACTAAAGAGGGAACAATGTGAAAAGAAATGGAAAATAAAAATAAACCAAATGAGAAGAGAATAAAAGAAATGAAAAAGAAAATTGAATTAAAAAAAAAATTAAAACAATCAGAACACAAAGTTAAAGATGGCCTTACCTGAGCATGAAGTGCAGCTGCAGCAGCGGCCGCTGCTGGGTAGGTGAAAGCCGTGTGGGGCAGGCCAGGGCTGAGCTCTGGGGTATAGAGGGGGTAAGGAGACCAGGCCTCTGGAGATGCTGGGATCAACGTTGCCCCCGTCAAGTCATCTGAGGATGGGAATAAGCACAGCAAACCATCACCTCAGGCTCAGACCAGCTCAGTATGTCAGACACGACTGAAATCACCACTTCAAAATCAAACGGTGTTTGTCAAATTGTTGACGTCAGAGGCCCTCACACTCCAAAAGACTTTTGAGCGAAAACAGGCAGGAACTACATACTGATACCTGTGTGATCTCTGGTAAGTTCTGTGACTTGGCTTGGAACAGAAGAGAGGTTGAATGAGATGTGAAGTGCTACTACTCAACTTGAGCGCAATAGATATAAGAGAAGAGAAAAGGCCATTTGCTAATAACACATGCACTGTCATTGGTGGTGCATTAGTTTCTTCTTGTGTTTTCCTAAGATCTACTCTAGATGTGTAGCTACAGTGTGTGTGAACTACCGTGTCGGCCATAAACTTACATGGGTCCCGTGCTATGAAGTGTGCTCCTAGAGCTGGGTGGATATTTGTGGGATTCGGAGTGCCCATCAGCTTACTCTTTGCCATCTTCGTGTTGGCCTTAGCAAACTCTAATCGGAGGGATAAATGTGAAGTGCATCTTAAGCTGGTGCCCACATGCAGTGAACGTTTCTGAACAGCAAAGTGTTACCTAAAAAGGTGGACACATACTACACGCTAAAGACAAGGAAAACATTAATAGTATTCTACTGTAGAGATGGTTCTCTGAATCATGACGCTTAGTAATTCTTGAAATAAACATTATGCACTTATTTGTGATGTGCTGGAACGGATCCTCTTACCTAATGTATACGAGACATCATAAGCTCACCATGGTTTAAGGTTAAATTATACAGAGAGAAATGGATGCAAGCTATGGCCATATGCTGTACAAATTTCAAGTAGAAAAGGCATGTTCTTAAGGTATACGAGTAGACAATGCATCTAAACCACACTAAGTGTGAACCTAGCTGGGAATCATCCAACAGGTTTTCAATAACTCAAGCCATTGCTTACAGATGGCTGGTTTCTTACATTTAATGCATTTTTTGCCGCTTCAGCGCCAGAACGACTATCAAAGGTTACAAACCCAACAGGCTGGAAAAGAAAGAAAGAACAAATCAATGACCACAAAAGACATGGTAATGTAATTTTTCATTACTATTAATAAAAAAAAATCTAAATGCGATTGATCATTATGCAGTCCTAAATTTAGGTTTACAATCACTGAAAAAAATAATAGGCATGACTGCAGCACAAATGCAAAAGTATATAACAGGCCTGGTCAGCTGTAATATCCAACAGTGTCTGACCTGCTTTGATGTTAACTTGATAAGTGAACCCTCATAACCCTGAAAAAGAAAAGAAATCCAATTAGTAGCAATGTAGTCACATGCTTGAAAAAAAAATTCCTGCTACCATAGGAAGCCAACATTGTCAATAGAGACATTTACAGAGGACACACTTTACTGCACTGCTAACCTGTGCGACTGGAGCTCAACATCTCTGCTGCTAAACATTATACCAATTCTTGCAAATCTAACAGTTTATAAACTTGATTCCCCTCCAGTTAATTCATTGTTGCTTGGGTGACCATAATTAAAAGTTAAGACCTAAGGGAGGTAGCAGAGTTTTGACTAAACAGTCAATGAGATTTACCATTTAAAACATCTGTTTTTACCTTAAATGGTCGAAATAGCAGATAGAGCTCACGAGGTTTGATATCTGTCGGCAGACCACTGACAAATAGAGTTCGTACCTGTAAAATGCAAGAACTACATCAAATACTGAACATATTTCAAATATGTGAAAAAAATACTAGATAACACCGAAGGATATAACTTAACAGAGAACAGAAATGAAAAGTGATTAAGGACCATTGGAACTCAAAGTTAGCATGAATTTAATAAAATACAAGTACAGAAAAAAAAGCTCAGTTTGCAATGAACTAAAACAAAAAGACAGGCATTGTATTTTAAAAAGACTGGCAGCTTTATAACTCAAAACACGGCAATTTACAGTACAAAGATTCAAGACAAGCGCGTTTATGGCCACATTCAGCTAAACGGCTATATAAAATAAACAAATGTGCATCCACTCGCTTTGATTTGGTGGGAGGTTCAAAGCCACAATGGATTGCCAGTGGAACAGCAATGGACAACATCGCACAGCGTGACAGCACTTCCTTCCTCTGACCCACAGCAACACCATTCCTCAGCTCTCAACCACAGCTCCAGAACCCCTCACCTCTACACCTTAATGCTTTGCGTCACTGGTACATTCTAGTAGTCATATATTAAAAGGTTTAATTTGGCTAAATAAATTAAGCTTCATGTTTAGGAAAATTACTTAATTATTCAAACAGCTGCAAGTGATAGTCAGCCACAATCCAAAATAGAGTTTTTGAAGTTGTGCATTATGTGATTATTATTGTGTGTCTTTTTCGGTCACTGCCGAGATTGGATAAAAATGGTCTGCAAAATAGCAGCAGTGCTAAAAATAACAAGTTATACATACATGTGTGTGTACCTACTTAACCATATTTTGGGGACAAATGTGTACCCAAAAGTGAGCAAAACCTTCATTTGGGGACATCCTCATTTGTAAAACTGATACAAAATTATATATTTTTTTAAATTGTAAAAATGCATAAAGTTCTGTTAGGGGAAGGTTTAGGTTAAAAAGCATATAACCATGTATATAAAAACAATATAAGTCTACGTAATGTCCCCATTTAGATAGGCAAGTGTGTGTGTGTGTGTGTAAACGGTTTAAACAAAAATGGCTAACTGAAGCATATTTAACAGGTTTATTGCCGGTTATATCTATCCATTCATCTATCTTTTTTTAAACTGTTTGCATTTTCAATGCATAGTTCATGAGGAAACCACTAAATAGTTACACCGTGCTGCATTACTACCATTACACAATTCTATCTATTACTATTATCTATTACTTGAGACAAACTAAATCACTACATCGACTGAGAGGCTTTCAAACAAGTACTTTAACTACTATGTATTTTAAATCAATAAGAAATTGGCCAAAGATACAAACAAACTTCACACATTTAACTCCCTGGATATTTAAAAGGAAACGCAATTAACACACCGCTGAACAAAAAAGGCAATCTATCAAGGAAAATAGGTGGTCATTAAATTAACGGGAAACAATTCATTTTCTTCCTAAATTATGAACCTCAAAGCACCGTGTTTTAATTCTCTTTAGTAACCATTTCCTTACTTTTCCCTGACAGCAAAAAAACTTCACGGAGAGACGCTGAGGCTCCCGTTTCACACTTCAAAAGTTGTCGACATATAACGCTAGACAGACTTACTCTTTACAACAGCTCAGTGACTCATTTAAAGCACCGAACTCTCACCTCTTCTTCAATAGAGACGTTGTTGTTTGGCTCGGAGTCAGACTTGACGCTCATCTTGTGCGTAAACTTGACACCCAGAAGGACCAGCAGAAGTTTGGTTTTTTTTCCGCGTCCTAAAGTGCGGCTGGATCCCGATAGCTATCCGTGCAGGACTCAGCAGAACTCGTGCGGGAACAATAAGGTCGTGTCAAAAGTGGCAGGTGAACCGAAGACGCCAAGGTGACTAGGTGGAAAAAAAGTGCAGTGCGTGGTGGGGGGGAAGAGAAAAAAGAGAAACGGCAGTGCCACCTCACATTTACCTCGTTTTAAATGTTAAATTTCAAAGAAAGCAGAGCTCATGGGTAAAACCTGTTCCATAGTTGACCTGCTCGCCAATTAGGTCATCAAGTGAGATGGGGCAGGCTCGAGAGCAGCGTTGCAGCTGGTGGATAAGCCAACCCCTCCATTAGTGAATCATCGCCTTCTTGGGAATGCACGGACCAATTGGAACCGCTCCTTTTATTATTGGAGACATCTCATATCAACTGTATCAGGAGGAGGGAGGGGAGTAAATAAATAAATAAAAGAGAGAAATGGCATATTAATACGTTTCCCCAAGAGATATAAAAACTTTGTAAAACTAACTTTAAAGTTTCTTTATGGGGGGCGTTGTGAAAGGGTCAGGGTGTAGCCTATACATCCTCTGTTTGTTTGTTGAAAAACTGAGCTATTCCTAAAATAACCCTGACATTTGAGTGCACTTAATTATGGGAACATCTGTTTAAAAGGAAAGCTACTTGTCTTTTCCCTTTAAATGCGGCAAGGCATGCACAATACAGGGAAACGTCAATTAAAAATGGGCCTTTAAAGCTCATAAATTTTTATGTTAGACTGTTTGCACCTTCAACTGGCCTTATGTCCCGTTTCCTGACATTGTGTAGTCACACAAAGTAAAGGAGCTTGTTGAAGTGGCGGGGAGCGGTGGAGGTTGAGAAAAAATTTTTTTTCTTGATCGACCTAGTGTTTTGTTTTGTATAATCTGTCTAAATATAGACAAAGTCTTTCTTGCCAGGCCTCTCTCATTCCATTGTACATAAGGGAACTATGAACTATTTATAAATCCTACAGATGTTTATATGCAGACTTGCAGTTTGTTTGAGGGCCTGTCTTATAGTAACTGCTTAATTTGGTTACAAGCTCTAAACTGGGTGTGCTTAAAGCTTTAATGTGCTACCAAATAGCTTGGAAAAACATTTACCAACAACATCAAATGAAAAGTTGACCACCCTGATGTCAGTTTTTCCATTAACACTCATTCTAATAGTAACCTATGCCTCTTGTCTTGTTCTCAGGGGTTTAAAAATAAGTCAAACAGAGCACAGAGGTACAAAGTGCCAAAGATGATTATACAGTAGACAGACTGATAGACGTATCAGTGCCAGGCTCTTAAAGAATGACAAGTGTACAGATTGGCTGAGTGCAGACATGCCACAGCCAGAAGGGTGCTGGCATTCGTCTGACACATTGCACTGCAAAGTGACATTCAAAACCAATGGTTTTAAAAATATTTAATCTCCTTCTAGTAATCTATAAATCAAAGAAACATAACATATGATCATAAAAGTGACAGCTAATCCCTGCGAATTCTCTGAAATATTGTTAATTGACATCCCATTTCTTGTCATCTCCTTGTTAGTGGTGAGCTCCCCGACACAAAGCCTGTACAGTGGGGCCAGAATCCTGTGATGAGGCCTTCATGTTTTATTGGAGAAGAGCAGGCCCATTGTCCCAAAAGCCACCTCAAACCACACTCCTCCTCCTCACACCTCACTGGCCCCGTCCCATCGCATCAGTGTCATAGAGCTCCACAGCACTTAGCTTGTGTTCCCTGTGTCCTCTGTGCCTCACTGCATATCCACCATTTACTCCAGCTCTCCTTCTTTCAGCTCCGAAGAGACGTTCAAGTCTGATTGAGGAAAAAAAAAAAGTTCCTTTTGGAAAGGCTTTATCACTTTAGATGTGCATAACTGATGACGTTATTGAGAGTTTTTAGATTTTGATTAATGTTGTGAGTGGCGACTCTTGAGTGATGCATCCACATTAATAGGCCACAAACAATGTTTTGCTTTTTCCATCTAGTCAGCAGCATTGCATCGATGTACAGACTGGAATACACTACACAACGTTTGTACAGATTTTTTGCCCCGGTTTAGAGTCACTAGTTGCCAAAAGGCAGAGCCAGTCTGCAGATTTGAGGTGACAGATTTCATAGATGGGTACATGGGGACTTTTTTAGCTTCAGACTATGATTCCATCCAGCGGGAGGAGATCGAACATGTTTGATATTTTGAGCTGATTTTAGAACATGTATTGTTTTCTGTAATGCATCTCTGAGTCTGAACGACTTTAAAGTCTGGTAGTGTGTGATCCTTAGTTGTTCAGTCTATTATGCCCAGTTTTTCTTACTAACCATTTACAAAGTTGACAAGTGTATGATGCCTGGTGTTTTAAAAATCTGTTACAATTTTAAAAGTTGTGTTGTGTATTCCAGCCTTAAGGGGATTTCTCCATAACAGACTGAAATTCCCTGGTTTTAACGCCTTCGCTGAATTGGCAGTACACACAGACATTGGTCATCGTGTCTCATTGTAACATCAGCTTGATGTCCAACTGGGATTCGAACTGTTCTCAGTCTCAGGAAACCTTCCTATTCTGCCAGTTTAGACACCAAGTCACCACAGTTCTTTGCCTCATGGTCGGGGACATTTTGCCACTATAAAAACAAACCACTGGCGTAGAATCTGGAATAATTGTTGATGCAGAGCTGGATAAAACAAGCACAAACAGAATAATGGTAAGTGCTGCTTGCATCAATACAGTCTATTTCCTGTTTACTTCTTGATGGCCTCTTTTGCTTCTTGAAGCAATGAGACCTTGTGACCAAAGGATATTAGTATACCCTTTAGCTTTCTCTTGCATCTGTATTCTCTTGAACTGCCAAGACAGAGTTGACAAAAGCACTTGTGTTAATCTGTCATTTCCTCTATTGCCATCTGTCTTTTCTTATATGAAAGAAAAGAAAACAACTCCATGAAGGTACCCACAAATGATAACTAATGGTTTTGTTAGTTCCAAGCAATCAGAATATCTTATTTTTTCTTTAGTTCACATATTAGTTAAAGTTTTACTATGTCTTCTTGATTCAAGAGCTATTTATTTTATGTCCTCCCTCATGTTTTCACAAGAGATCCCATGTTTCCTGTTTAAATTTGGAAAATGCACATGAAAGGTTATGCTGTTAAAACAAAGGGCAACACATTCCCAGAGAGACAAATTAGGATCTGATACCATGGGACCCTGGCGTTTTGACACTGTCTTACATAAACATTTCATGCATTTAGAAAATACAATCCCAGCCAAACTGTTTGTTAAATAAGGAACATCTCATGAAGACTATAATGTAAAAACCAAGAACTGAAATAGTAAATATTTTGATGGGAACATCAAAATTTGGCCCTGTTCCTTGTGCCTAGACTGGCTGCCAAACAGGACAAATTACAACAAACTCCCAATGAGGCTCTTCAGTGCTCGATCTCAAATAATTGGGCTTAGCTACTGAGAGAAGCAAACATTAGTTACTGTGTATTGTATTCAGACAAATGTGAACAATTTGAATGAACTGAGTCTGTCCAATGTGAAAAGACAGAATGATTATCTTTAATAATACTAATAAAAATATTATAATTATTCAAATTATTATTCAAATTATACAGTAAATTATTTTTAAATTTTACAATTTGAGTCTACAAGACAAAATGCACAAGAATAAAAACTCTGACCAGTTCTCCAGTGTTTTGGAAGTGTGCTATGCTGAGCCTTAACAATATTTGTGTTATTTGTATTTAGAAAATACTGAATCAGATTTTAGGTCATGTACAACATCAATGAATAGACCTTAGTCAGGAAGATGCCATACTGAATTTTACAGGGATGAAAACGAGGCTGAGGGACAGGCTTTACAACGGTAACCACTAGGTCCTAGATCACATAATTTTTACAACTCACAACTTTTTTTTGTGAAAATATGTTTCATCAGCTTAGCAGCATGTTGTTAAAATACTAGTACAATCCATGGAAAATGCTGTACTTCTGTCCTTCACAGCCTCGCATAAAGTTTAATATGGCACTACCCTGAAGTCTATGAGTGCACAAATTAAAGTTTTTGTAGCAATGAAGTATTGAAACTTGATTTTAGGGGACGGTCACCATCAGCAAGGCTTTTTTAAGACTTACCATCCAGCACAAACAGCTTCTGAGACCCTCTTTTCTGGTGGCTCAAGCAGAACTTCATATAGCCATTTTAAACCTCTCGCACAGCACAGACTGCAAAGTAGAACTGCAGAAACACAGAAAAATCAGTCAAGAGGAACTGATCTCATCAAATATTAAACAGAAGTCGGGGGAGTGATTCAGTGATGCATGGGACTGTTAAGGGCTGGATAAGGGGCGTGCATGATGGAGCTTAAGTGGGCCAGTGCGTATGCATATGTTAAGATTTACCTTCTCAATAGACACGAGAGCAATAGTAAATGTTGTTAAAATGAAAAAGGTCACAAGACTCATCATTTGGTATTCCAAAAATTGTTGTGAAGACTAACTTAACTAACTTAAAATTGCAACTGCCACAGTTTTCATATTCTCTTGAAACCGTTCTGATATTCTCCCCACATCAGTCTATCTCAGTTTAAGCAGTGTTTTATAGACAGCGCGGACAATCATGGAATCACTAGAAAAGTCAGTACATTCCAGACTTAAATACAACAAGGGACATGGGCGCTACGCAGCTGTCCATCACATCTACTAAAGTCTGTCTCAGCCTCTAAGAAAGATGAATATTTCATAATGACCCTCCCTCCTGTATGGGCCTGTCAGCTCCTGTTCTTTCCACAACTGCACAACACACTCTCTCTGGACTTAAGAGGACGGTACAGTTTGCATAATTCAGACGCTCCATGCTGGGCACTTTCTGTCGCTTTAAAAAACGGGGTCATATGGGATGATAAATAAAGCAGCCTGAATGTAACCATACATGTATGAGATCAGAAATGTGCATATTACTCCATTGCCTGTTCAGTTTTGGAACTATGCGCTTGTACAAAACTCAGTGTTGACTCAGCCGCAGAGAGGGAAACTGCAAGTGGTAAAAGTTTTTTTAAACATAACCTCACTCACCCTTTGTTGTTTACATAATATGGGACACAGTTATGCCCAGAGAAGTGGACACAGTGTGTGTGGAGTGGTAGGATTAAGAATGAGGAACAAAAAGCCTATTGACATCAAATGGTTGACAGACCGCCAGGAGGACAGCTGCTTGCTCAGGTCAAGCAGTATTAATCAACGTAATAATAATAATAATAATAATAATAATAATAATAAACTAATCGGCTAATGTAAAAAACAAAATTATTATTCCGTAATATTTGTATTCATTTGAACCATCTTAATTATTGCCTACACATTTGTTTTTCCAATAGACAGGGTCAAGTAT